GACAGTAGACTGTTATTTCTTTCTGAGGGGTTCATGCAGAGCTGGAGAGTCCTGTAGATTCCGCCATCCTGGGCCTATAGATAGAGTTCCTGATCGGCACGCTCAGATCTAAGAGGGGAGCAGTGTTACGAGCATGCATTTAGCGTGGATTACCTAACGGTCGCATCTCGAAGCACCGAGAGTTTCGGCGATATTTCGAGCGCTGTAAAATTCCACCCATCAAATAACGAATTAGAGGTGGGACTATTCTCGAATATTCTCGAACATAATACTTTGGTATATATATGTAACGAAATTAGGATTTAAGTTTAGTGGATAAGAGAATTCCGAACTGTAAAGTTATAAATAAATATATTTATATAAATTCGAACCGCTCGTTTTATTTAAAAACGGTACAATATATAATATCGTAGGGAATGAAGGCACTCAAGATGACATTGACTGCCTTAATGGATCATTGGATTTCGATATTGAAGACCCATCTTAGTGGATTGTTTATGTTGTATTTTCTATGTAAACGATATAACTTTTAATACGTATTAAAGCTAAAAATTTGTCATATTATGTTTTTTAATCCGGTATTTGGATCTTAAGTCATGCATACAACAATAACATGGCTTCAATATTGAAGCCATGTTATTGTTGCTTCTTAAAAGGCAGAAAATATTGATTTTTCACGTTGAGAACCCCTATGAATAGCTCTTCTGACGAGACCTATTAGGTCGAAATACGTATCAAGAGATACATAGGATTTGTTTGCGTGAAATCAAATATTTGCTGCCTTTTCTCATTTTATTCGGATATACTCTGTGGGAGTACGAGAAACACAATTCGCTAAGGATTTCTGCTTAGTTGTAAAAGACATGTCGTGGAATGCAAATTTTAGATTCCCCATGTCTCTTTTAACATCTTTCACAACGTCTGTTTGCCTTGCAATTCTTAGAAGGCTCAGATTATAAAGCAGAAATCTGAATTGTGTTTCGAAACTATTTTACGATAGAATATTAATAGTTTAAAAGTTATTCAAATAATAAATAAAGTCATGTTGGCATATTCTCTTGGTTGCTCTCTTTTGGAAAATGTTCATATTTCGTCTAAATACATAAAAGTTGCTGCCCAAAGTTTTGCGTATGTCACCAACTTGTTTTGCCAATTTCACTAAATTTCCTCTATTTTAATTAAAAAAAATTTTTATTAAAGTCACATATTCCTTATTTGCACGCATTTGATATATGTCACTAGCACTAAAAATTTCAAATTTTCCTCCCTCCACATATCATTCAAATATGTTGTTTATTCTTAGTTATTTTTTTATCTACTGTACTTTATTAATTACAATTTAACGGTACTTTTTTGAAAAAAATCACACGACATAAGCAGGATAACATACTTACACAAAAATCTAAATAATTCTTAGATTATTTTGATTAATATTCAATCTAAGTATACTTCTACAAATTCAATCCTTTCTATATTAAAATAGTGTAATTTTGGTAATCATTAAATCATTTCAATTTTAATTTTATCGATTATAAAATTCCAGTGTTTTTATTAAAAAATCTTATCTTAGACCAACTATCATAAAACGGTACTTTACTTAATAATAACAACATATTTTATGATCACACGAGTTTATTGAAGCGAAGCTTCTATACTGGCGTTGTATTCCTTTTTCTTTATAGTAAAATGCTAAGAAGAGCGTCACGGAAGTAGCGTCACGAAACACAAAATAGCGGTTTGTGGTTCGCAGTGACAGCAAATAGTTGGAAGAATCCATTTACGCGACGAGGAGAGTCCTTTGTAACAGTATGTAAATTTACAACTGTGAAATTTTATTTGAGATCTTTGAAAATTTAAATTTGAATTGAAATTTGAAATTTGTGTCGTAATTTTCCAGAGAGAGAGGGTCGTAAAATTTCGTTACCCACTGTAGGAAAGAAATAGTCAAGGGGTATATTGTCCTCTTCATCAAAACGTAGATCTTTTTAGATAACATAAGAGAAGATGTTAGAAAACTGAAAGAAGATGATATAAAAGTAGCGTCACGGAAGTAGCGCCACGAAACACAAAATAGCGGTTTGTGGTTCGCAGTGACAGCAAATAGTTGGAAGAATCCATTTACGCGACGAGGAGAGTCCTTTGTAACAGTATGTAAATTTACAACTGTGGAATTTTATTTGAGATCTTTGAAAATTTAAATTTGAATTGAAATTTGAAATTTGTGTCGTAATTTTCCAGAGAGAGAGGGTCGTAAAATTTCGTTACCCACTGTAGGAAAGAAATAGTCAAGGGGTATATTGTCCTCTTCATCAAAACGTAGATCTTTTTGGATAATATAAGAGAAGATGTTAGAAAACTGAAAGAAGATGATATAAAAATCAAAATTCAACAGAAAATATACGAAAACTTTGATAAATTAGATACTTAACACTTACGAGATAAACGAACAATGGGAAACACTAAAAAACTCCCCGCTCCATGCAAAGAGATATTAAAAGAACCGACACGAAAGAAAGACAATTGGATGACCGACGAGATACTCGGCATAATGGAACAACGAAGACAAGCCAAGAACAAAGACAGTCACAATTACAAAATCATTAACAATGAAATCAGAAAATAGATAAGAGAGACAAAACAAACTTACTATGAGGAAAAATGTAAAGAGATAGAGGATCTTCAGAACAAATACGACCTATTCAACATACATAAAAAGGTTAAAGAAATGACAGGGCTGCAAAAAAAAAACCACAACACAATTCTTTTAGATAAAAATGGAAATACTATGATAACGACTGACGAAAAACTAAAACGATGGGAAAAGTATATGGAAGAGCTCTTCGACGACGAAAGAGGAAACCTACAAGACTTGTCTTTTGAGGACAGAGAAACAAGTCTAGAAATTACAAAGAAAGAAATACTGTATGCACTAAAGAACACCAGAAATGGAAAAAGCCCGGGTCCAGATCAACTGCCTATTGATATCCTTAAAATAATAGAAAATGAGTACATTGATGCCCTCTTAAAGCTTTTTAATAAAATTTATCAATCGGGTAACATATCCAACGAATGGTTGACCTCAGAATTCATTTTTATTCCAAAAAAGAAAAATGCTAGAGAATGCAGCGACCACCGTACCATAAGCCTGATGTCTCACACACTTAAATTGTTTTTAAAGATCATTCATAAACGCAATTACAAAACACTTGATATTAATATTGAAGAAACTTAATTTGGATTCCGTAATGGCGTAGGTACCCGTAAAGCTCTCTTCGCATTCAACGTTTCATAGACTACAACAAAGCTTTCGACAAAGTCCGCCACAAAGAGCTAATGGACATCCTCCAAGCAAAACAACTACAACACAATGACCTTCGAATTATAACAAATCTATATTATAAACAGCAGGCACACGTACGCATTAATGAACACACATCGGAAGAGTTCGAAGTTAAAAGAGGAGTGCGACAGGGGCGTGTATTGTCACCACTACTATTTAATGCATACTCTGAAGGAATTATGAAAAGAGCTTTTGAGGGAGAAACAGCAGGAATCAAGGTTAATGGAACACCAATTAACAACATTAGATATGCGGACGATACTATCATAATAGCAGACAACCTCCAAGACCTCCAAAAGCTAATGAACAAGATAGTTGAGTATGGAGAAGAATATGGATTATCAATAAACACCAAGAAAACCAAATTTATGAGGATATCAAAAACCCAAAATAATGGTGAAAGCCTGACAATTAACGGTCGTGCTTTAGAACAAGTTGAAAACTACCACTATCTTGGCACAATAATTAATCACACAAACAATTACTTCAAAGAATTCAAAGTTCGAATAGAGAAAGCATGTACAAACTTCAATAAAATGAGAAAGGTACTTTGTGCAAGAGAACTAAAATTGGACTTGAGAGTTAGGCTGGCAAGGTGTTATATTTTTTCGACTCTGCTTTATGGGATGGAAGCATGGACACTTAACGCGTCGACTGCTAAAAAGTTGGAAGCATTTGAAACGTGTATAAAAGAATACTGAAGATATTATGGACCGAACATCTAACAAAAAACGAAGTCATGAGAAGAATCAACAAAAGAATGGAAGTATTGGAAACCATCAAGACACGAAAGCTGCAATACCTGCGGCATGTTAGGCGTAATGAGAGATACAACCTACTTCAACTGATTATACAAGGGAAAATCCAGGGCAAGAGAAGTGTAGGAAGAAGAAGAATCTCATGGTTGCGTAACTTGAGGGAATGGTATGGATGCACATCAATTGAACTATTCAGAGCAGCAGCATCTAAGATCAGAATAGCCGTGATGATTGCCAACCTCCGTCGCGGAGATGGTACGTGAAGAAGAAGAAGAGAAGCCGGATTTAGAAAAAAAATTTCTTAGCTGTAGTAGGAGATACAATATATATTTTTCGAAATAAATTTTGCAATAACAATTTGCAAGCGTTTTTAAGGTATCAATTATCATCTTTGGCTCGACAATCCTTTGTGAATCCTGGTTTATTCGAAGATTCGTCACCATTCTCTGATCTTCTGAGAATCGTCATTTTTTGATTTTTAATACCTCTAAGTCAATCTGAACTCCATCCAATCATCTAACTCGTAGTCGGAATCTGCTTCTTGTTTCTACGGGTAGTTAGCTGTGGTTAGTTTTTTAGGGATCGTGTTGCCTAGCATTCTTATTATGTGTTCAGGCCATATGAGTCGCTATCGGTTAATGAACGCTGCGACCGAATGAGCATTCAGAATGAGGTAGTAAACCAAATACATAAATAATAATACCTTGGTAGCTGTAACTTAAAAAGCGTTACCAAATTACAAGTAATACTCGTATACCTCTGAAAACTAGTAACTTCTTTTAAATGTTTAAAAAATTTAATCTTATCATAACAATTTATGTCTTCCAATTATTGTATAATCTAAAGTGAAGCAAAAATATACATTATAAATAAAAAGTTCCTTAAATGTTAAGGTTAAATAAGTTTATTTATTAATACTTCAATATTCTTACAATATTAGTGTTTAATTCTATGCTAAAGTTAGTTCTTCCTCAATATTTTCCTGTATCCATGAAATATAGGGACTGACTTTAGTATAAACAGCGATAGCGTTGGTGGGATCACATAAATTAAGGGCCCAAGTCGAAATCGCTTGGACAACTCCGTCTTGGACTACAGGAGCCGATCCGTCACCTACACAGGGTCCAGGTCCAGTACATACCACACTGTTATGATATTTAGGAAGGTTGTATTTCTTATTAAGATAATTCAAGCATACTGCAAAAAACATATTGGGTCAATTAAGTTATTTACTAGACATAAGTGTATACACGAGTTTGACAGTTGAAATGTGTAGTATGAGGTACCAAAAAAGACTTTAACCTAGCGATTCATCAGTTTTTTAGTGGAACTATTTTTAAATAAACAATCAAAACGTCAAACTTACTATTTTACTTATAACTTATTTTTATTTTTACGTCATTAGACAACTTTTTTAGAAAAAAAATACCTATACACAAAATGGGATATTCTAACAACTTAAAATGGTTGATAAACAAAAAAGTTATTGCTAAACTTTTAATTATTTATTAAAATTTGTTTAAATGTACTTGAACTTGAGGTGGAAAGACCGACCAATAACAACGAATAATAACCTAAGGTCAATCCCCTTATTTTTCCCATTGCTCTATACTTAGCTAAAACATGGACTCTCAAAAAAATCGATAGGAGCAAGACGGAGCTTTCGAAATGTGGGTCTATAGAAGAATGTTATGCTTGTCCTGGACAGAACGTAGATCCAACCTATCAATTCTGGAGAAGCTTCATGTAAAAGACAGGCTATTAAAAAGTAAAACAAGCATAATACCTAATTTACTTCAGCCACATAATTAGAAGAACGGGGACCATAAAACCATTGGTATTAAAATGAAAGGTAGAAGGTCAAAGACCAAGAGGAAGATCTCCAATACGATGGACAGACCAAATGAAAACTCTGGTGGGAAAATCCATACATATAAATCAATTAATAAAATATAAAAACAACTTTGCAAGCTTGCGTATTGTACAAGTAGATATAAATATATCGGAAGCCGCAAATGCAATAAGTGATGATACCAAATTGGATAAAATGCTGAAGCTTGGGTAAAATATACATACTTCTAAATTTTGCCAAATGCTCGATGTTAGCCACAAATAAATTGTTTGAACACTAAAAAATAAAGAAAATGCTACTGACAAATAGTATCAACTCAGCAGTCACAAGATGTTTTTTTATGAGTGCATCATTACACCATTCTAATAATTACAATTGCTGATATTGGTCTATGCAAAATCCTTACTAGATAACAGAAGAATATATTTAGTGGGTTAATTTTTGAAAAGAAATTATTGGATATCATATATGATAGCTCTCTTTTTTAATTGATGGTAATTTATATTGCAATAATTATTTAACACTGTTTCAAATGTCGTGATTTCATTGAAAAAAAAATGTATCCTGATCCAGCAAACTCACAGATTTCAGCTTATAGGTTATGATCCCATGAAGATGGAGCACAGATACAAAATTTGTGCTTGCCTTCTGGGTGGCACTTTCCCTCTGTGGACGTGGACTATAATTTCAGTGATTTTTTGGATAGGCTTGTCTGTATTTTCAATAAGGCATTTCCTTTAAAGAGGAATGCCACAGAATTACATACTTCCTGGGTCTTCCTCTTCTTCTCTGACCAATGGGTCTATCAAGGGGCATTGTTCTAGCTGGTTCAATTTTTTCCACCCGCATTACATGCCCTATCCACCTCAGACGTCCTATCTTAATATGTTTTACGATATCAGGTTCCTGGTATATTTTATAAAGTTCCAAGTTGTATTTTTTAAGTAGTCCCTAATTATTCGAGCGTTGTGAACTGAACAGCCGTTTTGATGGAACCAAACATTTTCCAGAGTTACATCTGGAAGATTAAGAATAGCAAGAAGAATATGTCCCAGATAAGACATTTTTCGATGTTTAACAGTCTTTAGCAGTTCTCTATATTTGTTGACGCTCCTTGGTACTTCTTTATAAGTTTTCCTTGCTGTCCAAGGTATCTTCAGCATTCGTCTATGAACCCACATTTCCAATGATTCAATTTTATTCATGATCGATACTTTTAGCGTGCACACTTTTGTACTATACAAAAGTACGGACCAAACATAGCACTTAACCATTCTTTGTCTTAGTTCTAAACTGAGATGATTATTGCAAAGAAATGGCTTCATTTTCGTAAAAGTAGTTTTAGTTATTGCTATTATACGTTTTATTTCTGTATCTGGATCTATTTGGTCCGTTATCACAGTTCCCAAATATGTCATTTTGTGAACCTTCTCAACTTGGGACTCCGTTTACTTGAAGCTTTGCATCGGGATATGGGTCACGACTAAACACTAAAAATTTGGTTTTGTTTGAGTTTATTTTAATGCCCATTTCCTCTCCTACCTCGTGAATACGATCAAGCAGAATTTGGAGACCTTCAATATTATCTGACAGAATTACTGTATCGTCTGCATATCTAATCACATTAAGTAGTTTTCCGTTGATTTTTATTCCATATGGTTGTCTCTTAAGTACCTTGTTAAATAACTGGTCCGAGTAAACATTGAACAATGTTGGCGACAAAATGCAGCCTTTTCTGCCTTCTGGTTGTATGGAGATTTCATTTCATTACAAATTTTTAATGACACGAATATCCTTGTCATCTATTCCGATATTTTTCAGTATTTGCATTAATCTTACATGCTGTACTTTATCGAATGCCTTTTCGAAGTCCACAAAACATGCAAATAAATCTTTTCTTTGGTCACGGCATTTTTGTAATAGGATGTTAAGCGCAAAAAGTGCCTCCCTGGTTCCCATAGCATTTCTAAAACCAAATTGGGTAGCTTGGGTAGCCAAATTGTGAAGTATTCTTAGGAAAATTTTAAGAGTGCGGCTCATTAGGCTAATTAATCAAAATTCTGAGGATTTTTTCGCATTGTGTTTTTTAGGTATTGCAACAAAGATGGGTTTGAGCCAATCTTACTACTAGTTTTATGTTATCATCCTCCATTAGTTTTAGCAACTCAGTTGGTGTATCATCTGGACCTCAAGCTTTTCTAATTTTAGCATTATTTATAGCGTGTTCTACCTCCCACTTCATAATTTCTGGGCTGTCAGTATAGTTTTGGTAGAATTCGACAATATTACTCCTGTCACTCTGATTATATATATATATATATATATATATATATATATATATATATATATATATATATATATATATATAATATATATATATATATATATATATATATATATATATATATATATATATATATATATATATATATATATATATATATATATATATATATATATATATATATATATATATATATATATATATAGCTGCCATTCTTTTCTTATTTCGTGCTCATTTACAATAATTTTGTTATTATTGCCAACGAGTACAGAGGGAACACGTTTTTTAAATATGTTACTCATTTCTTTTAGTTTTTTGTGCACATTAAATAAGTCGTGTTTAGATATTTACATCCTCCATTTCGTCACACCTTTCTTTCATCCATTTTTCTTTGGCTAATTTGATCTCCTTTTTTATTATTCTCTACAGGAGTCTATATTCTGTTTCATTAGAGTTTATCAGTCGACGTTGTTCCATTAATTTCAAGATGTCGCCTGTCATCCATTTATTTTTCTTGATTAAGTTTTTTATATATTCATTGTTTGTGGAGATTTCGTGTTGTTTACAAAAATAAATTAAAAATCTACACTTTTGCTTTAAAGAACCAGTGTATAATGACAAGATATTGGCGACTGGGCAACGGTTTTCGTGGAAAGTCGACGGCGCGCAGTGTTGTCATTTATAGTGTGTATATCTAATTTATAACTTAATGTACTATACTTATCTGTCAGATCAAAAAAAGAATGGAATAACCACATAATCAGCAGGGGACCTTGTGGTTAAAATAGCAAGAGATAAATCCCCTATCGGTAGAAGAATTATCAGACGAGCGAGCAAAAGGAAGAAAACAAGCAGAATTGCTTATAAAGAGCAAAAAGGAGAAAAAGAAGCTTATTTTCTTTGTGTCTGAAAATTAACCATGATATAATTTAAATATAATATTGTATTCTTTTGAAAAAATATTTCAGATGACCATGACTTTTGGAGGTGTGTATAGGTTTCTATCTATGACAACAAACTTGGAAAATAAAATCTCAGACATAACTATAAATATAAATTTAACCGTACCTTCTGTATTAACTACCTCAACGTTAATTGCTTGTAATCTGATACTGTATAGCGAATTATAGTCTGGTGCTCCATATCCTGCCAATACCGCTTCACCCTCAGATACGTTGCTGTAAGGTTGCGGAAATGTTGCAGGTTGTACCATGTCGTTTAACACAAATGGTGTATCTACTTTAACCAGTCCAATGTTATAGTCACTCAAGTCATCGCTGAAAAAGTATCAAATATTAATCAATCATTTAACAGCTGGCTTTTAAATACATAATAAAATAAGTGATGGATTCGACCGTTACTTGATTTAAATTCATTTCATCTAACAATAAAACTCTGAAATTTTTTATTTTTTATCACTACGGATGTTTTAAGACGACAGAAGCGACGACAAAGAACAATGAGCTACAGGATCGTGAAACGTATTAAGCCTATATCGGTCTGGAGCCCTAACTCAGGTGGTCAAATAACTTGAATCCAGGAACATGCACATAACTGCTTTACAAGAGATTAGAATGGACTGGAGAAGGTACACTAAAAACTAATAAATCAGTAGTATTTTTCAGCGGAAGCGAACGGGTACATCAATTCGGCATCGGTTTTATAGTCAGGGAAAGTTTTGTGGGGTTAGTCTTAACTTTCAAACCCGTAAATAAAAGACTCTGTTATATCAGACTCAAAGGACAGCTACATAACTATTCCCTAGTGCATGCACCGACAGAGGAAAAGGAAGAGCATGTAAAATATAACTTCTATGAGAAACTAGAGGAACTAATAAATAATCTACCCAAACAGGACATGCATATTATCTTAGGAGATTTCAATGCAAAGATTAGGGTGGAAGCAGTGTACAAACCAACAATAGGTAACCATAGTCGTCACGATGTCAGCAACAATAATGGAAAAAGGTTAATAGACTTTACAGCGTCCCACAACCTATTAATAAAATCAACAATGTTCGAACACAAGACAATACACAAACAAACATGGGTTTCTAACGACGGCGTCACAAGAAATTAGACCGATTATGTTCTAGTAGATGCCAGGAGTATCTGTCTAGACGTAGAAGCCTAAGAGGAACTGATGGAGACACGGATCATTTTCTGGTAAAAGCGAAGATAGGAACTAGGGATAGGTCCAAAAAAACACACAAGAATACACCAACACAATTATGGAATACCTAAGTTCTACGTAATAAGGAGACAGAACAGAAATTTTAAAAGGCTATAAAAATAGCTCTAACACAGACAGAAGACAGATAACATAGACTCAGCTTGGAAAAATATCAAATTGACTCTGACAAGCGTATCAGATGAAATACTAGGACACAAAAAGAAAACAACAAAAAATGGTTCGATGATGATTGCCTGAACCCCATTACAGCAAGAAATATGGCTAGAAGGAACATGCTACAAAACCTCTCGTATAACAACAATGAAATGTATAGACAAAGAAGAACAGAGATAAGAAAACTAATGAAAAGGAAGAAGAGGGAGTATCAGGAACAAATAATCAGAGATATAGAAGAAAAATGAAAGAACAAACAAGCGAAACAGTTCTTCAAAGAAGTCTCAGATATCAAGAAAAACAAAAACAAGAGTATAAAGCAGAATAAACAATAACTTAATACCTAAAACAAATATAAAAGACGTCCATAAAATGTAAGAAAATCTCAAGGGAGCTCTTAGATTACTCATCAGTCTGGATTAACCCATTCGCTGCCATGTTCCAAATCTGGAACAATTGTTAGTTTTGCAGCTGGTTACAAGATGTCACTGTTGATCTTAAATCTGACAAACTATTTATGCTCGGTAGTTTCAAAACAACAGATGCATACTGAATTTACCTAATGGTTTTGTATAAGTGGCTTTTGTTATGTGATTTATACCAAAATTTCAAGGAAGGTGCAGTTGTATAACTTCTAGCTTGATTATAGCCTACCTTCTGTTGTGAAATATTGCGATCGGAGTTTATATACCTATACAATATATCTGTATCGTTTAAATACTTAACCTCAAATGAAATATACCGAGTAACCTCTAGTTTTTGTATGTTCCAAAAATGGAACTTTGCTGAATGTGTTACTAATTGAAGTTTTTCTTTTTAGTTTGGAAATATGGATGTTAAATCATTTTATGGAAAGAAAACGAGTTGTTCAGCTGATACTCTGAACAATCTAATCAATACTCTAAATGAGAAGAAGTTTGTTTATGCAGACATATAAATTTATCCTCCAGCGTAAGATTCTAATGGATATTCTGAATCATCGGATGATGTGAATTTTAATGATTTTGCTGATAAGTTTTGATCAAAGATACTGAACGCTCCAGCTGAGGCAACTCTTATTTTACAATGTTAGACACAAGTGGCTGAAGATATGTTCTCGACAATCTAATAAAAGAGCGAATATATCAAAGAGACAAAACGACTGGAAAATAGGTGACTTGTCCCAAAATAAACATCAAAAGAATATCTCACTTTCCTAGAAACCTATTAAATATGGATTTAAATTTTGGTATGAGAATGTATCAATTGGTTATCTTGTGTGTACTGAACCTTACCAAGGGAAAGGAACCTTATCAATAAAAGTTTAAGTTTAAATTGACGTTGTTGAGTTTCTATTACATACTTTTGGTTATCTTCCAAAATTGGAACAAAAAAATTTTAGACACAAGACTATTGTGAAAAGTTTTAGAATTTTTTAAATATTTTTCTATAAGTTCAGAACATAAAATTGACCTGTAGGAGTTTAAAATTTAAAAAATGAAGTTTGGCAGCAAATGGGTTTAAATCTAAATTAAATCTAAATATGGTAGATTGGTAAAATAAAAAAATTAAAAGCATGCTGGATATTAACGTACCCTTCATATTTTTCATGCTGAATAGCCTTTACTGCTTTCCTTATTTGTCTCTTTGGATCATGAAGATTGAACATTCCGGCTTGTACCTAAAATTTTCATAAGTATTTATATACAGTGTGTCAATTTTAAAACTTACAATGGGCTGATACTTTAAACAATCTAATCAATACTCTAAATGAGAAGAAGTTTGTTTCTGCAGACATATACATTTATCCTCCAGTGTAAGATTCTAATGGATATTCTAAATCAGCGGATGAAGTGAATTTCAATGATTTTGCTGATAAGTTTTCATCAAAGATACTAAACGCTCCAGCTGAGGCAACTCTTATTTTACAATGTGAGACACAAGTGGCTATATCTCACGAACAAAAGTTGATATCGAAAAATCCTTGAAACTGTTTCTAGGATAGTAAGGGGGAACAAAAATGTCATGACAATGACAAAATTTGTTAAAATTGTCAATTAAGTAAAGGTTCTAAGTGGGTTGCGTTGTTTTGTAAACAATAATACAGCCTATTTTCAAATTCTGCACGAACTTTGGAAAATGTTGTTCTAGTAATAGCGCGACATGCTGGCGTAATTCTTTCTCGTAATTCCCTAAGTGACACAGGTTGAGTTTTATAAACAATTGACTTGAGGTAACCCCACAGAAAAAAGTCAGGTGGCGGTAAGTTTGGTGATCCCGGTGGCAACTCAATGGGACTTTTTCTTCCAATCCATTTGTTCGGATAATTAGTATTCAATCAGTGCCTAACAGGAGTTACATAGTGAGGAGGTGCTCCATCTTGTTGGAAGTGCAGCAAATCGTCGTCTAGAGCTAGATTGCATTGATCGTCCCTTCGGTTCTCTAATTCACGCACAATTAAAGGTTTCTAGCATATCGAGATAAATGTCGCCACTTAAATTGCCTGAGAATTGGTAAGAACAAGGGGCCAATTATAGTATCGCCTAATATTCCTACCCAAACATTCAGTTTTTTTCAGGATATTGAGTGTGACCTCCTCTGAATCGATTTGGGTTCGCATCAGTCCAATACCGATAGTTTTGTTTATTTACATTACCATTCAGCATAAAAGCACATTCCTCAGTGAAACAAATATTTTTTAACATTCTCGGTTCAACGCAAATTCTTTCAGTCATAAGTTCACAAAACTCAATTTGTCGGTCTGGATGATCATCGTCTAGATCTTGAAGAATTTGTGTTTTGTACGGGTGAAACTTATGTATTTTCAACACCTTTCTAACCGACTCATGTAAAAGTCCTATCATTGCAGATACTTGACGTGTTGATGCGGTAGGCTCTATTGCAAAATTTCCAAGGACCTCAATTTGGTATGCTTCATTTAGTAATCTTGAGGTATCCCTTTTTTATTTTGCACTGATCCCGTTTCTCTAAACTTCTCAACTAAATCGCGGACGTACACGTGACTTACATTTTTGTCCGGATGCCTTTCATGAAATATTTGAGCTGTTCGTAAATAACATTGGGGGAGGCAAATATGAAAATGATCTCCACGCGTTCAGGTATACTGTAAGTAAACCATCGTGACAACTACAGCTGAATGACAGTACCGATCGTACAAATTGTGAAAACTAATAACATTTTCTCCTTCTTCTTTTGGCATCATAATCCTGAATGGGTCTTTGCCTGTCTGGCTATGTCCTTCCATTCAGATCTCTCTTGTGCCCTTCTTCTTCATTGTCTTATAATCATTGTTTTCAGGTCGTCTTCCACGTCATCCAACCATCTCGTTCTGGGCCTTCCTTTTTTCGCCTTCCTATGGGCTTCCATTGTAACATTTTCTTTGTTGTTTTTGCATGGTTTTGTCTCTGCACATGTCCCAGCCATGACAGTCTTTGACTTTTCACAAATCTTACAATGTCATAACCTTCATTTAACTCATTAACCTCGTCGTTTCTCCTGATTCTCTATGTGCCATCTTCCTTTTGTACCGGGCTATATACTTTCCTCAGTATTTTTCTTTCGAACGTCCTGAGTTTGGCTTCATCTTTTTTCGTCATTACCCAAGTTTCACATCCATAGATTACTACGGGTCTAATCAGTGTTCTGTAGATAGTCATTTTGGTTCTTTTGTCTAATAATTTCGATGTCATCAATCTTTTATTAGCATAGTATGTACGATTCCCGCTGGAAATACGTCCATTAATTTCGCTACTTACGGAGTTCTTCTAATTGATTTCTGTGCCGAGATATGTAAAGGCATCCACTTGTTCGATAGTATAGTTGTCTATTGTGATATTATTTTCATTGTCAGTTATTCTTTTGACTATCGCATACTTCGTTTTTGCTTCGTTTATTTTGAGACCTCTTTTTCTAGCTTCAGGATCAATTTGTTTGAACACTTCCATTAGTCATGGCTTATTCCTACTAATGACGGCTACATCGTCTGCATATGCAGTAATTTGTACTGATTTGGTGTTTATATGACCGACTAATAACATTTAAAATTCTCAAATAAACCAAAAATTATTTAATCTGGCAGAACAAAAAAAAACAGATGTTTACAACCTGTTTCACAAAAATGTTGAATTAAGTTTTTATTTAACAAAAAAACTTCGACGGGCACTTATCATTAAAAATAATAGTCCGGGAGATATCATTACAAATACAAAAATCATAGTAAGCCGGCTGACATTGACACCCTGTATAATTATTAAACAATAATTATACAGGGTCATCAATAGAATCAATAAAAACCTCATTAAATTTTCCATTTAAGCCGAAGTTTTACAATTATTGCTCCAACCAGTATAATGATTATTTATACCATTGAAAAGCATTTTTTATAGTCTTTTCAATTACGTATAAAATATATTTTGCTTGTGGTGGGTGGGGCCTAGGGGGTCGATGGGGATGAGTTCTCTTTCATGTCATTTTAGTTCCCCCTTACTATCATAGAAATGGTTTCAAGCACTTTTCGATATCAGCTTTTGCTCGTGAGATATAGCCTATTGTAAGTTTTAAAATTGACACACTGTATGCAAAATTTAGTTAATTATTTTATACCATTTACCATATGATACGATATTATATCATTTACCTGATAGTTATATTGATCAAAATAGTCCAGACAACTTGCTACTGTCAAAACCCAGCTTTTGCTTAGAACGATTCCGTTACAGTCATGGGTGCAACCTGATACGGTACATAATTGATAGGAGGCTATATACACAAATTCTCCTCTTGTAGCATTGCGTCCTCCTATGATTCCCAAATGTTGACTGGGAGCCGCTAAAACTTTTTGAAAGGTTTATAATAGCTTTTAATAATTGTAAATGGTCGTAAGATGTAATTTATGTATTAGAACAATCTAAACTATCGTTATTTATACATCATAATTATAAAATGAACCCCCTCTGTGGCTCAGTGGTAAGAGCGCCTACCTTTAAACCTAAAGGTCGTGAGTTCGAATCTCGTATGGGTGGAGAAATTTTCGTTTATTAAAAATTAATATTTGAAAATAATTTCTGTCCTTGGGCGATGGGTGCTCACCGGAGTGACCGCAGACGTTCGGACACAATTAGCGTCTCTTAGCAAAGACAATGACGTCGACTTTGCTAAGAATCAAGACAATTACTCTACACACACACTACACTAGGTACCTGACTGTACCATGCCAATGATCTTAGTTGTCGAGGCATTAACTCAATAATAATTATAAAATATTTCTTAATATCGTATTAATGACAGAGAATACTGAAGATTTTCAGAAAGTAGTCTAAAAGGTTTAAACGGCAAGCTTACTCTATGGCTTAAAATATGAACTTGGATAAAACCAAGTTTCTACTAATCTTTACCAAGAAACCAACCAATACCAACCAACCAACCAACCTACAAATAAACCAAATAATAATGCCCAACCAATTATTGACGACCAAAAGATGGGACGTGTATGTAAATATAAACAGAGGCGGCGTAGGGCGTGGACCACAGCCCACGGCTTCGCGGTTCGAGGTGTGAGTGAGTAACCGAAACAAAAAATAGTAACAAGACTACTAATATCCAGAGCACGCAAACACTCTCGCGCTTTAAAAAATTTCAGCCACGAGCCGACTCCGACCGATAGCCGACGGAACAACATGCCTCATGCCTATCCACAAACAAAAGTGGTAACAAGCCATAAACACGCCGAAAAAAATTGCGTGCGTTGCTATCGCTCGCAAGAAATCCTCGCTTCAATGCACATCACCGCTGGGCCCTAAGAGAGATACGGATGCTGGAAGAAAATGGGAATCCGGATCATCAAAACGAAAAGGAAAAGCTGAAAGGGCAACATCAAACCAGCCAAACCTTTTTTATGGTAAATTTAGGTGAAAATTTAGTGTGTTCTAAAATAATCTCTAACAGTTTTTTTTGAAAGTTTATATGAGGGTGCTGTATAAAAAGAAATTACAGGTCTTATTGGGTGATCCGGTTTATGTAGTTTAATGAAAGAGTATAATTTAGGAGGCTGTGGGTTTATGGGCAGAAATACCTAAATATCATGAACCCACAGCCTCCTAAATTATACTCTTTCATTAAACTACATAAACCGGATCACCCAATAAGACCTGTAACTTCTTTTTATACAGCACCCTCATATAAACTTTCAAAAAAACTGTTAGAGATTATTTTAGAACACACTAAATTTTCACCTAAATTTACCATAAAAAATACAATGGAACTGGTTAATAAAATACAACATTTTTAATTACCTAACAACTTCAGATTAATTTCATTTGACGTAAAAAATCTTTTTCCTAGTATTCCTCCTATTAAATTACAAATTGGAGGCCAAGAGCAGACAAACGCAGTAGAGGAAGACCACCTACACGTTGGGCCGACGACATCAGGCGTATCACTAAAAATTGGCAACAAAAAGCACAAAATCGTGAGAAATGGAGGAGTTTAAGGGAGGCCTATGTCCAGCAGTGGACGTGATAAATAGAGGCTGGATGATGATGATGATGATGAGTATTCCTCCTACAGAAACTTTTATTTTAGTAAAAAACCTTTTAGACCAAAATAGTACAATTCCAATCATTACATCTGAAATTTTACGTCTTCTTGAAGTTTGCATCAACCAGGACTACTTTGAATTTAATAATCAAATATATACAAATAACAGTGCAGGACTTATAATGGGCAATCCTCTAAGCCCATTGCTATCAGATCTTTTTATGGATCATCTAGATACACAGATTTTAAAACATCCCATATTCAAACAGTTTTTATATTGGTGGAGATACGTAGACGACGTACTGGTATGTTTCACAGGAACTAACAGGCAACTCGACCAATTTTTATCGTATATTAATTCACTTCATAGTCATATTGAATTTACGATAAAAACAATAGAAACAATAGAAACAGAACAAAATCAATCCATAAATTTTTTAGATTTAAAAATTATCAGACTTAAAAACAAACATGACTTCTCCATATTTCATAAACCTACCCATACTGACACGACTATACACAATCCATCATCCCATCCCACACAACATAAACTGACAGTCTATCATAGTATGTTACATAGATTAATAGAAATTCCGATGTCAAAATACAACTTTGAGACATAATTAAATATCATTAATCAAATAGCAGTAAACAATGAATACAACGAACAAACAATTAATAAAATGTTAAATCAAAAACTCCACAAGAAAGCCCTGAAATTAGTATTTCCACCACCAGAGAAAAAACCCAGTACCTTCTGCTCGATTACATATACAAGCAAAATATCAACAGAAATAGCCAAACACATAAGAAAGAAAGGAATAACACCAGCTTTTAGAACAATTAACAATTTAAGCAAATATAATAAAAACAACAAGATCCAAAATAAAAAATACTTACACAGTGGTGTGTACAAACTTAAATGTGGCGACTGCTCAAAAACTTACATCGTTCAAACGGGTAGAAATTTTAATAAACGAATAGCAGAACATAAAAGGGATTTCAATAATAGAAAAACAGATTCTACATACGCACTTCATCTTCTAGATCATAATCATTATTTTATGACGAATTTAAAATTATTCACATTCAAAATAAAGGCCTTAAGTTATCTGATAGAATCTATAGAAATCAACAAATTAAAAAACACAGATATAATTCTGAATGACCAACTTGAGACAAATAGTTCTTCCCTCCTCAACCTATTTCATTAAAGACTATAAAGTGTAAACGAATGCCAAAAATAGATCACTTGAGAAAGGCAATCAGCCGAAACAGCTGTAGTGATAACAATTTAAAATAAACTTTGTGGAAGTTTGAAAACAAAGTTGTCAGTGTTTTATTGTTACATAAAATTAATTTCCATCAAGTAATGGTCGAATCCATCAATTACAAAATGAATTGACAGTACAGTAGTGAAGTGATTAGTGAGTGTAGTAGTGTCTGGAGGCTCGGGAGACTGAGACCTCGAAAACCCCGAAGAAGACATCAGAGAGGATGTCGAAAGCTCGGCCCAATGGATAACGACGCGGTTCAATCCGGAAGACTGGTGAGTTTAATATTAATTTTTATAATAGTGTTAATCTTAGCTCTAGGTTTAATTGTACTAACCGCGAAAATTTTTCCGAACATATATATAATAAAATATGTGTATAAGATGGAAGGCAACCGTATATACGTATTTCTGACTATTGGTCGTCTTCAGTACGGTGCAGCCAAGTTAGAAAAAGAGCATATTAGCTTCAGAAAGGATCACTATAGGAGTAATGCGACCAATTTGTGGCAATCATGTTAGAAGACTCTAAGGTTTCCGGAGCAGCAACCAACACATCCACGGAGGATGCTAAGCTAGCTGAGGAAGGGAATGCCACACGTTTAGAATAAAACGTTTTAAACGTTTGGCATTCCTTCTGGCAAATATTGCAGAAGATCGAGAAGCCTTCGCAATTGTGATCGCCAACGTCGGATAATTCTGATATGGCACGCAAAGATACATGAATTTTGAATAAAGGAACTAGAAGAACTATAATATTAACTTTAAACACACAAAAAACACTTTTTGAGACAATCGCAAAATTTGATGTTTGATTTTATCTTTACAGTTACAAATACAGTATCTAGTAATTGTAGAGGACAAAATATAGTAAGTATTATACCCCTTTCTACTTCTTGGTATGTGTAAGAAGTTGTAAAAGAAGAAAGTAAATAAAATTTAAGACAATAAATTATTTATAAATAGTAATAACAAATGATATTAATTTGTTTTTAATTTTATGAACAATAAAAATAAATCACAAGATTAATAACAAACATGAACTAAATAAATACCTAAAGTTCCAAGAGCAAAGATGAAAAACGATATTAAAATCATCTTGAAAGATTTCGAACTATAATATCTGTAGAAATGATTTGTGTTTATATACATATATCTTAAGAGATTTTATGTGACAGATAACACAATCAAAGATATTAGAAAAATTCATTTTTCTCACAGTCACGCTACAAAGATTCTGGTTAAAGTTTAATGTTTCTGCTTTTTCGTCCCAGGATTACCTTCGAAATGTACATGTACATTACATGTAGAATTCACATGAACATGTTATAAAATATGTTAAATATGTACAATATTATAGGAAATTGTTCTATGAGGAGTAATAATCTCAGAAATACTTCTTCCCTGGAAAGTGGACTCTATCAAGTTATTCTTGAACTGTGGTTTAAAACTTTTAGAGTTCAAAAAATATTTAGAAATTATTATTTCTCAATTTCACAGGAGTTTTGACTCACTAGTTAAATCGACCTGTTTGAGTAGTTCTTAGATTTTTGTTAGGATGAATTGCATCTATCTTTTTTTATCTATCTATCTATCTTTTTACAAAGCTTCTACAAGTAAAAAAAATGTGAATAACAATACCAATTAAAATTTACTAAAATTACATAAATCGTCAATATCACAGAATAAAACAATGTTTTATTTTTTTAAACTTTGTTGCTTGTATCTAAACGAACTGTACTTTCTTAATTATTCGTTAAGAAACTCTTCCACTGAATACTAAGGTTTTTCAACAGGATAGGCTTTTGTCAATTTACGGAACTTAAAAAAGAAGTTGTAGATTTAAGTTGCAAAGGGAGATAGTTGTATGCCAGATGTAATGAAATTTTTTTGCCAAATATAATATAGATTTCTTTACTAACTCAGTGGATGGGATCGGTAAATACACATCAAAGCTTGAATTTCTAGCGGAGTAGTCATGCCTAAGTCTTGCTGGAAAAATATGTAGGTATAATTACAAATTAAGCAAACAGTTTCTAGAATATATATAGTCGACAAATAAAATACATACATAAAACAAAACCAATATATTCAACAACACAATTATGACGCTGCTGAATGCAACACAACTAATAAAAATACACCAACAACTATGAAATGGTCTTATACATATAAAAATAAGCAGTAATATAATTAGAAAATATCTTTACAAAGTTATATAAAACAAAAAGTGAAATCATACGATTTCTACCTGGCGAAATCGAATTCAAATATAGGCCGCCGTGCTCCCTAAGACTTGCGAAGCAAACAGCTTGATGAATGCATCGGCAAGTGAGTCTAAAAATTGCACTCCAAATGCCGTTCATCATGGCCTATATTCGTAGTGAATTCGATTTCTGGTACTCCTACTAAATTTACAATAATACAAAAAGGTTACAGAAATGAAAACATAAAAATTAAACCAAACCGCTCTTGGTTAAGTCGATTAGCTATCTCGCACTATTATAAACTGAGACTTAAATGTTCATAATTATTATTTATTGAAATTTCTTAGTAGCTGATGGAATTTGGTTTGTAACAAAATATTGACTGTTCTTTAAATTGAATGCAAAATTCAGTAGTTACTCTCAACTACATTTGAAGACATGGATGAACTTTAGATACGTCCAGATAATGGAAGATGATATGATACCATACCATATTACTCGCCCAGATAATTGTAGATAATGATTATGGTAACTTACAGTAATTCCTGATGACTGCTGCATTAATTTACTAAAGTTAATACTATACTTGTATTCAACACTGAATTTAATTAACATTAAAGGTACTTTATAACTATATTTAATCTAATATAGTATAGGATCAAAAAAAACTCAAATATTCAAGTGTATACACACTTATAAAGAAAAATGCACAGAGAACGGTACGATAACGGAGATACAGTAAGATCTAGTCCTTACGCAATGACTGTCCCACCAAAAGTCTTACGAGATATCGGCCTATACTCAACAACGGCCCACCGAGAAGTAAGGTTTTCTTTTCAAAAATTTACTCACCATCAAAAAAAAAGAAGAAGGGATATCTTTCACTTAGAAATCATAGGCCTGCCTGTCTCTATTTCTTAGAAGATAAGGTCTTAACGGCTATCGGAAAGTTCGGGGTAAATAACGATAGGTATTAGTAATTAGACGTGATCAAATATACAATCGTTTGGATTATGTTATTGTCAAAAGTGACTACGAAAATTACCAATTTATGAAAAAGAACCCGTATACCGAAAAGCATTAGCTCCTTTCATACTCAGGATTAAGACAGAAAGGATTAACAACCTTTCTTAATTAGGGAAATTCCCTGTTATTTTGCTAAGTAAATTCTTCCGTCATAAACATTTCTAATCGTACACACGATCATCGGCGTATCATCCACATGGGTAAAAGGAATAACAATAATTAATATTTTAATTATATAAAAAAAATGTTACAATGTCAGTAGGTAAATATTCTCTCTCTGATTGAGTTCGTCGGTAATAAGATTTATATACCTTGGAATTTTGTTAATATGTGCCATAATCTCTTTATTTTTCATTTCAGACAACCTTTTATAATGTTGATGCTAAGCGCGGTTATCTTTTAAGTCTTATACTCTTGATTTTTTGTGGTGTGCTGTATTTACGCGTTTACTGGATATTCCTACTGTTTTTACGAACAGATCGCTACACACCTAATTAGGTAAACCTATTCATCGTGTATATTCTTGAATGCAATGTTAGTTGACTTGAGTATGGTTTCTTCGTCTTTTAACTGCAATTTCTTAAACCAAGGCAATAATAAGTGAAGTATGAAGATTATAACTACCAACATTTCAGTATATCTCAAAAATTTCTCTGCCGATGTCATTATTAATTTTTGTGTAACATTTTTTTACAGTTACATTAATAGTCAATAAACTGTAAAATTCTCCGAATTGCTTCTGTTTGTCCAATGTAATTCTATTTTCTACGACAGAAACTAATATTTCAAAATTTGGCGGTTGGTATCCTGTTTTATAACTACATCCAATTCATGATCATATACTTGTATTACGATTTAACTATTTTAATACCAATTATTATATTATTTTAAAACGTAACGAATTTTAAACTATTAAGTTAGTAATCTAGCTGTTTACAAAGTTTTTATCACAAAATGAGATATGATCTGATTTTTAAATTTATTTTTAACTGTATTGTGAAAATTGAAGATTAATCTTATAAAAGTCCTTAGAATTATCTATATTAATAAAAATGAATCGCTGAAATGTTTGTACGGGCATCACTTCAGAACGACTGCACCAAATTAGATAATTATTTTTTTTGTTGTATTTGTTATTATTAAGAGAAGGTTTGTAAAAGATAATTTTCAAAAAATTGTGCGGAAAGACTTCAAAAAACAGTTTTGCTCTCATTTTAAATCGCGATATAACTAATAGACGGCGCCATAATATAACTAGCCATGATTAGAGAAATAGCCGTACCACATTGAATATACCGGTTCTCGTTCGATTACCGAAGTCAAGCAGTGTCGGTTGCGGTTACTACTTGGATGCGTGATCGCTTGGGAACACCGCATGTTGTTGGCATGTAAAACCCTCCTTCTCCAAAGGAACTGGAGCGATTTTGGTGAAATTTTACTTGTGTATTCTGTAGTTCTTAAAATAGGTGGTTATATATATATATATATATATATATATATATATATATATATATATATATAATTTTATATAGCCATAAAATTTAAATAGCCATATTAGTGTCAGAGAGTTTGTTGCCTTACTCCTCTGAAATGGTTGGACCGATTTTTATGAAATTTTCCGTGTATATTCGGTAGGTCTGATAATCGGTAGTAATCTATTTTACATACCCGTAAGAATTAAGATTGATTCACCCAAACATTTTTTTTTTATTTTGTTTATAAATTTTTTTCACCGTTATATGACCAACCTCTATTTTTAATAGGAAAATTAGTGTGATGAAGTCATAGAGTTAGTTGCCACACTCCTTCTAAGTGGCTTGACCGATTTTTATAAAACTCTGAATTTTCTCCCAAGAAAGTTATTTTAACTAAAATCATTTGACACAGATATAATTCGGAATGATTAGTCAGCTATCCTAAAGAGTTTTAGAATTCATTGGAATTGCCTGGATCCCCACCTTACAATTTAGAATTAAAAGTAGGATCAGCAATCATTATACTGTGTAACATTAATCAACCTCGATTGTGCAATTGAATGAGACTGACTAAAAAAAGGTTAATCAGTAATGTTATTGTGACAACGATTACCAAGGAAAAAAACAAAGAAGATGATGTCTTGATCCGGCGTAAGCTGATGATTTTAACGAAGTACCATTTGATGCTAACAATGTTTACAATTTCCCGTGCTTCTGGCTTCTGCAATGACAATAAACAAATCATAAAGCCAACTGATGGAAGTTTACGGAATTAACTTATAGTTTCCATTCATGTGTTCGAAAACCGTCATCGCTGTTAATCAATTAAACGCAAAAAATAAAAATATTTTTATCAGAAAGCATTAAATTGATTCAACTTTTTTCATGCATAATATATTTGAGTGTTTTTTTGGTTTTATTTTCTGTTAATTTTTCAGCTAATTTAAAATAAAACAAACAAAATAGTTGTTTACTGACTAAAAAAAGGTTAATGAATAATGTCATTGTGACAACATATCATATAGCCAACCGTTGGAAGTTTAAAATAGTGAAATAAACTTGGAGTGTCCATTCACGTGTCCGAAAACCGTTATCGCTGTTTATTTATTAAACGCAAAAAAATAAAAATATTTTTATCAAAAAGCATAAATTGATTCAACTTTTTTCATGCAAAATATGTTTGAGTGATTTTTTGGTTTTATTTTCTGTTAATTTTTCAGCTAGTTTAAAATAAAACGAACAAAATATTTGTAAACACAATAACTATCTATGAACTAAATGTTCTAACAAACCACTAGATTTTGCCAAACAAAAATAAAATCGATTATACAACGCCAAAATTTATTATTTTCCCAAAATTGGTAACGATTGGCCATGAACAGGAACTCTTAAACACACTAAAAAGCAGTATGTTTTATCATTTGAAAAGTTTGTTTTATTATGTTTGTTGTATTATGTATTATTGTTTGTACATGAAATTACTGTCATGTTTTGTATATCTTTCTAAAAGATATTACAAACTTTTTGTCCCCAATCTAAAGATTTTCCATAAAAAACGCTAGAATTATTATAGTTTATTTATTAAAATTTTATTTCTATTTACAAGATTAGTTTCAATTCTATGCCAAAGTTAGTTCTTCGTCGATGTTTTCCTGTATCCATGAAATGTAGGGACTGACTTTAGTATAAACGTTTATAGCATTTGTAGGATCACACAAATTAAGGCCCCAATCCGAAAGCGCTTGAACAGTTCCGTTTTGGATTACAGGAGCTGCCGAATCCCCTACACAGGGTCCAGGTCCAGTACATACAACACTGTTGTGGTATTCAGGGAGATCATGGTTCCGTCCAATATAATCTAAGCATACTGCAAGAAATATTTTACAATATAGTATAAATATGAGCTCATATACAGATATAAAGTATTTATGTTATAATAGTTAAAGCGTTTATGGAACATTAAAAATATAAAATCGCAATAGATATTCAAAAACAAATATAGGCATATATGTTTACAACTATAAACTATATTTATATTATATTATATTTTATATAAGTTTTCTTGACTTATGAGATAATATTCCTGTTGTATTAACTTTCTAAAGACTTTTCAACAAACAAATAACGTCCAGTAATTATTAAGTGTTATGAAAACTGAAGGAGCCTCCTAGAGTGCTGCTATTAAGCCACGTGTCATAAACGATCAAGCAGTCGCTGTCCCTGGTAATGTTATAAAAATAATGACCAAAAGTTCTAAACACCAAGCGTGAGCAGGAAAGAGCTTAAGATGAAAGACTCTCATCTACACGAAAGTGACACCTTGTGTATCCATTAAACGGACGGCGACCAGAAGCAGAGACGAACAAACATTGACGGGATGAACCGTGCCATTGAGATCTATCACATAAGAAACGACAGCGCTATTTTTACAACCAACGCGGACTGCGGACCATGTCACCAACATTGAGGTCCTACAGAGCATGACAAAAGAAAAAGAAGCGCTTAATTTGGTGAAACAACGTAAGCTTGAGTACTTCGGCCACGTGATGCGAAACGAAGAAAAATATCAAATTCTTCGACTTGTTATGCAGGGTAAAGTATTTGGCAGTAGAGGACCAAGATGCCGTCGTATCTTGTGGTTGAAAAACCTCTGACAATGGTTTGGGATGACCTCCATGGAGCTGTTTCGCAGAGCAGTCACCGAAACCATAATAACCTTGATGATCGCCAACATCCGAACCGGATAAGACACTGAAGAAGAAGAAGTATTTTTTACAATAAACCAATAAATATAATAAATAAAATCGAAAAATAAATCTTCATCGAACTCGACAATTGCACAGTTACCTCTATGTACAAGTCTCCAGGAACAAAAATTATGTTTGACCCTTCAACAAACTTTCAATCCGCCAATCCGAACTAAGTCGTGAGTTACTTCAACATCCATCACACAGCATCAGGATATGCAGAAAAGAATAATTGCGGACAGACCATCAAAGTATGGGTGGAACTCAACGGCCTCTCCCTGATCCACGAATCGAAACTACCAAACTCTTTCCACAGCAGAATATGGAGAATGGCATACAACCTCAACTTGACCTTCGCCATTAGAGAAATTGACAGTTGCTGTACAAAGACGATCTACAATCCTATTACAAAAACACAGATCTGCTCGGTTGGTCTGAACGTACACGTAATAGTAAATATGACAGAAATCCCATTCCGATATAGGTATAATTAAAAAAAAACAGGGTAGATACGCTGCCGAGATGGACTGCTCACTAAGGAAACTCGAAGTATCTCAGCAAATTACAACTATTTCATCGCAACAGTTAGAAAAACCTCGTGAAGACACATTTCTAGGGGCTGTAGACAACGATACGTCTCGGGCCTTAATGACGATGGACGCAATCTACTAAGTAAATATCACATACTGTTTAACCGACCTAAAACCGACTCCTTTAGTATGAATACTATAGAATGTGGAGAAGAACTTATGATGAATATGATTGACACGTTGAAGAAGATAGATATGATACATAGCAGTAAGTTTGTGGAAAACGTTGTCATGAAACTAAACTGCGATAAAAAACCAGTATCAACCTTGATGCAAGTTTCACCAGACCAAATTGCCCATCAACTACTAGCCAATGGAAGACCCAGACAGAGATCACATAAGGAACGTCAAGGCAGGGGACGAGGAGGACCCATGCATGGAGCAAATCAAGAAATTTGGCACAAGTATGAAACGGTGGCTGCTAGTACTATTTAACCGATGTGTCTCTTGACTCTAAATGCCCAAAATTCGGAGAAAACTAAAATTATTTCTCTCTTGAAACCAGACGTGCCGATGTGCTGAAACAAACCAATCTCTCTACTATACTACCAGTACATTCACAAAAAAATTCTACTAGAGTAGAGTATGAGTAAAGTAAATCCTTGAGCCTCGCCCGATTCCAGAACAGGCTGGATTCAGATTCGGGAAAGAACTGCACTAGTTAATTCCTACATCTTACTGAACACATGGAAGAGGGTTACCAAGACAATGCTCTCTATCTATAGGGTATCTATTGTATTTTATACACAGTAACTGTCTTTATAATATTCATAAACTATTAATAATATTTATATATTTTATTTGATAACTTTTTAACTTACGAAAATATAGACAAAATATTCTCTATACCAAATGCATTGTAAACGTTTTGTGTATTAAAAGGAAAGACACAGGAAAGACAAAGGAAAGATTTGATTTGACGTACAGTGCGTCTGTATATCGGCTTATACAGATTTTATTTTCATTCTAAAAGGAATCGATGGAGCGGCTCTTTACAAACGCTCTGAACGTGAAAACAATCTTTTCTGTCATAGTAGAAGCAACACTAAAATGGCTTCGATATGGACGTAATAGCGACATCTGATATATAAATCCGGAAACTAAGTTTTTTATATTATTTGATCTTAATAATAGGCCATGTTGATAGTTTGGTAATTTACAAATGACTAGACTGCCGAATTTAAGAGGACTTTTAGAAGTATCAAGACTTTTACTTCGACATAAAACATCATGTATCGATTACTTTTCGGACAAAGCTTAGATAATTTTGCCATATCAAGAGAATATCCAATGATCTGTCCAATGTCTATATAATACATGAACATCCACCGAATGTTCAAGTCAATCCACCAAATATTTCTTAGCAGGAGAGATTCTCTCCTGTTGCCAACAAGAACGTAGAGCGTAGAATAATTTTTAAATAATTTTAAACTGTTTGTCCTTGTTTTAGTGTAGTGTTATGTACAATTTATGTTCAATTTTATGTTTATTACATTCTGCGCTTGCTGGATAGCACAAATTTGACGAAATGCCTCTGATGATGCTGTAGAAAGCGAAAGTACTTGGGCAAGATTTGATTATTAAAATTGTGCTCGATATTTGCCTTTAATTTATTATAAAGTTTATTATATATTTTTTGACTAGTGTTGAACGTTCTAAGGAAGATAATGGCTTTTAAAGGCAGTAAGTAGATAGTAGTAAGGCAGGAATTTATTTAAAAAAGTTTACGTTATAAAACACTAAATCTAATAAGTAGCTATAAATATTAATATATTACGTACCTTTTGTATTAACTACCTCAACATTAATTGTTTGTAATCTGATACTGTATAGTGAATTATAGTCAGCAGCTCCAAATCCAGCTATTACCGCATCACCCTCAGATACATTGCTGTTAGGTTGGGGCAGGGTTGCAGGTTGTAACATGTCGTTAAAGACAAATGGAGTGTCTACTTTAATCACTGCAATATTATAGTCACTCTCAGTTATGCTGAAAAATTAAGCAAAATTAAATTTTTTGTCTGTTACTTTAATTACAATGGGCATTTGTTATTGAATAGTATTCTCTGATTTCAGATTTGAAGGAACTTGTTTTGTAATGTGCATAGTTTTCTTGTAAAACATTACACTACACTCAAATACTGGCGTTTAGTAGCGATGACTCTACTTAAATGACCATTAAGTGAATTAAAGATTGGAAATCACCAGAATCTGACGAAGTTCAAGGTGAAACTCTGAAGCGATTAGGGCACACCACATCACAGCTCTTATTATGCTTTTAAATAACTTAAATAGCATTTTTAATGTGCCCTGTAAATCATGTATAGAGAGTTTGAAATAAATACTGAATCTCACTTTGGCTTACAACGCATGAAATAAATAAGAATTCAAATGAGAAAAATATTTCCGCCCATACTCGTGGGAGGATGTATTTGTCATGACTTCACTTCCATGACAGCGACCGTAAAGGTAGGTCGTGTGAGGTCCAGTTCAGGAGGCTGGTTTAATTTTTTTGCCGCAGTTAATTACGTGGCCTGTAAAATGTGGGGAAATTAATATCAAAGGCAGTACCACAAAAATATAAGTACATATATCTTACTTCGAGATATACAAAGCAGGTAAACAGAGATGAAATAAAGTTGTAAAGTTTAATTAAGTTAAAAGTTTAGAATCAGTGTCAGCTGCCGAGAAGTAAGCCAAGTTCTATGTAAATTCTTTCAAATTCATTTAAAACTTGTCAAAATGTTAGAGTGGAGATACAATCGCAGAATGTTTTGTATTTAGTGAACTAAGAAAATGTACCTGATTTCATTTTTAACTTTTATTACATATATATTTAGTGCTGTGCAGTGCCCCGTTTTTTTGTATAAGGTATATCCCGACATTTTTTGTTATTCCGTATCGTTTAAGGTGTACAATTTAAGAGTTTGGTACTCTAGTGATCAATGGGTTATTATTAATATACTTTTGTATTATTAATATACTATAGCATTATTAACATACTTGCACTTGGAATTCTCTATTAGCCCCCAACATCCCTTCTGGAGAAGTTACGTTACAAACTTAGGTGAGACTGATTGAAGAAATATGTTACAAATTGTAAACTTCCTTCCTTAAAACTAAATTGTAAAAAAATAATGTTACCGTTACCGTTACTGTTACTGTTAAGGTTAGAAAGATTAAAGAAAATATGCTAATTGGGCTGCTATATTAAGGATATCTGGGATCATAGCTATGAAATAAAAACTTGTATGGAAAAACTCAGAAGTTCTTACAACGGCCTTAGGAAGATTCTCTATAACCTATCTTTTTAACTATCAGTATGCGCATAAGAATTCTTAAATGTTGTCATTCTCCATAAATAAATAGTGTCCTTCTCTAAGGATTAGAAAGTTTAAGTCTTATAGAAAATGCCATAAAACAGTTAGAGGCATTTGAAATGTGGTTCTACCAACGTATATTAAGGGTGTCATATATACACTATACACCTAACCCAACTATTCTCGAGAAGCTAAGAAAAGACAAAGACATTATTAACACCGTAATTAACAGAAAATTAGCTTACTTCGCCCACATTCTGAGTAATAATAAATACCAACTTCTACAGTTAATTCTAAAAGCTAAGATTGGGAGCAAGAGAAGCCCTGGACACAGACGTATATTCTGGCTGGTCAATCTTAGGAAATAAACTGGTCTAAGGTTAACTGATCTATTATTTAACATATGTAAAATTACAGAAAAATAAAGCCCAATGGGCAACCTTTGAGATTAAATTTGACCTCAAACGGGTCACGACGGGGTCATTTGACCCCATCAACGCGTCATTTGACCTAACGACCATGACGAGGACTTAGTAATTAAAATCGTTAATCACGGCCACTGGCTGTTCGGACAGGCATATAAAAAGAAAAAAGGGCCAAATTAATATGCATTCATATAGCAAGGAAACAAGGAAAGGTGAGGCGGAATGGAAAGCAAGTAGAACACTAGAAGGTAAGGTGGTAAAAGTTAAAGGATAAGTATTTGGCAAGAGTATTTAAGAGTAGAGTACTGGAATAGCTTAAGGAAAAATATACCATAAATACTGGTGGGAAGCTAACACTAAAGCTTTGGTACGAGTGGGAGATTAAGTGCTAGGAAAACCTGATAAGAGCCTCCTAGAAACAAAGAAACCTAATGGTAAAACGATGTAATGCAACAGAAGGTTGCAGTTAAGAAACAGGCTAGAAAGAGGTATGCCAGGTCTAAAGGGAAGCAAAGCGCTCTGTAGCTACTGCTAAGGAAAGATCGTTTGTACAATTGTATGAATAGTTGGAAACACCTTAGGGGATGAAAAGGTTATACAACATTGCTGAAACAAGGAATAAATCACCAAAAGACTTGACCCAGGTGAGACAGATTACGAGTGCTGATGGAAGAGTACTAAAAACTGATAATAAAATAAAGCAAATATGGTATAAGTACTTTAGAAAGTTGAAGTAGAAAGTAAATAAAGAGCACCAGATGAGCAACAAGGGATGGGGGATTCCAAATAAGAATGTAATACCTGGGATAGCGAGAGATAAGGTTGTCGAGTCGTTAAATAGTATAAACAATGGTAAGGCAGTAGAACCTGATAGAATACCTGTAGAGGTTTTCAAGGTTCTAAGAGAGGAAGGGATTGCTATTTTGTTGCAAATAATGAGTACGGTGGATGCCTAATGCTTGGAGAAAGAGAGTGTGATGGTCTCATTTTTTAAAGATAAAGGGAACATTCAGAACTGTAAGAACTGTATTAAGTTAATGTCGTACCCAATAAAAACTTGGTAGAGAACCGTAGAGCGAAGGTTAAGGAAAGAGACATCGATAGGAGAAGAACAGTTACGGTCTATACCAGGGAAAAGGACAACGGATGCCTTGTTTGTTTTAAGACACATTGTTGAGAAATATGACAAGAAAAGAGAGCCAATTTGATATTTATATATCTTGAGAAGGCGTATTACATAGTCCCTAGATAACAGCTATGGAGATGTATGGGAGAAAAATGGGTTCCTGAGAAATGGGCTGGTGAAAAATATGTATAAGGGAGCGTATACCAAAGTAAGGACTTGTGTCGTATTGACCGAATTTTTTCCAGTGACGGTTGGTTTGCATAAAGACTATTCATTGAGTCACTGTCTGTTAAGTTGACTTAAGTATATGTGATTAGGAGGTAGAGGAATGATTGGTGATATAGAAGAGTAGAAGAATTTTAATATCTTGTCTCCTCCATAACGAAAAATGGGACACTGGATCGAGAAATTGCCCACAAGATACAGGCTGGTTGGTTTAACTGCAAGCGAATGAGTGGGATACTTTTTGATAAAAAAATCCGGGAAAGGCTCAAAAGGAATTATATAGGAATGAGTGGAATGAGTGTTGTAAAATAATAATAATGGTATCTTACCGATCCAGCTCTTACTAATCAACAGCAGCTTAGACCCCTATTAACCTTAAATTAATATACTTATTTCTCTTTCTTAAAACTTGCTTTTAGTTATAATGTACTATTATGTTTTCAAAAAAAAATTATTTTCATTGAACTGTGCTAATATTTAACTATGAATGCTTATATTACCTGTGTTTTGTCTTTCGTTCCTTGTTAAAATTTTAGTATTATTCGAGCGGCCGTCTCTTGTAATACCAAGCTTTCAACTTTTCTTATAGTTGTTTTGATATTTTTCGCTATTCATCTATTGCGTCGTAAAACATGTCTGTGTTCTCATCGCTCTGTGTTATTTTTGCTGTCTCATTCTTGTTTATTATTCTGTTGTATGTGTTCCATCCTTTCTTTTTTGTTTTGTGGAATATGCCGCAGCATTTTCTTTCGGGCATCTTGCCTAGTCTATTCTTTATTCGTTCTGATCTTTTTGGTTGGCTGGTGTCTCCCTGACTTCCTTTTCTTCTTCTCTGCGGTTTGTTAATTGGGATTCCTGGTTCCCACAATGGCAGTGTTGCCACCTTAGAAGGGTCAACCCTTTCTTCTTCCGTCTCTTCTTGTTCTTTTGAATTCTCCTATTTCTTCTTCTTCCTCTGTGGAGTATTCAATTTTCTCATTTTCGTAATATTTCTTTAACCTGTTGACGTGCACTACCTGTCTATTTTTTTCCTTTTTTGTACCTACTGCATACGTCACTGGTCCAACTTTTTCTATAATTTGAAATGGTGTGGATAGTACTATGTTTTCTGTAACTTCTTTGAAAGACCTGTCGCGCTACTTAAGTCTCTCAGATATACCTTATCTCCATCTTCAAATTCTCTCCAATTCAAATTTTATATATTTATATTCTCCTGTGTTTTTCCATACACTTTTTTCATTTTTCATCCATGTCCAAGTGCATGGGTTTCCTCTTTCTTATTCCCCTGTGTTTTCTTATACATTTGTTTCCATTTTCATCCATGTCCGTGTCCATGGGTTTCCTTAATTCTAATTGAGTGCACGTGCCCCTGGCAGTCGTCGCATCTCTTCTCATTTCACATATTTCCCAACATTTCTTCCTAATTCGCTCCAGAAATAATATTCTCTTATATTTCTGTACTATATTGAGTGCGCATGCCCCTGGCAGTCGTCGCATCTCTTCACATTTCACATATTTCTCAATACTTCTTCATAATTCGTTCCAGAAATAATCTTCTCCTATATTTCTGTACTATATATCCTATTTATTCTTCCATATCCTTCCTGTAACATGTGGAAGGTAATAATTATAACTCTTCTTTTCCTTTACTTTTCCGTTTACTTCATTAACGAAAATCACAATTCCAGATTCGTTTCGCATTTTTATTACATCCTGTAGATACTGTATTGTCGTGCTGGAGCCGCGGGACTCTTAGCGGGTTGGGATTCTAGTACCACCCTAGATTTTCCCCTTAGCAGCCTCCTACTTGACGTAAGTTTCACCCCTTAAGGTCGAACTATATGCAGCTTGCCTACATTCCTTAAAAAAAATGTACTTCTGGCACTGTATTCACCTTCGCATGCTGTGTGAGATATGCCTCTATTTCTGTGGCATCCCACCTGTGTCCACTGAGTATTCCTTCTTCTTTACGGTTCTGCTTCTTTGTCTCAAGCAAAGAAACTGGCTTAAACTCTTCTACATTCAGAGGTCCTTCTTCGTCCAAAGTCTCTATAATGTTACTTTAAACGATAGTAACTAACTATGAATTTTCCGTCTCCAGCGAGTCCTTGCCTTAGTAACGATTCAGTGCTTCAGTGAAGGCCCTTAGGTCTTCCTTTCCAATTTGCACTTTTTCCTGGTACATAAACTGTAGCAAGTTACTTTAAACGATAGTAACTATTATAACTTTTCCGTCTCCAGCGAGTCCTTGCCTTAGCAACGATTCAGTGCTTCAGTGAAGGCCCTTAGGTCTTCCTTTCCAATTTGCACTTTTTCCTGGTACATAAACTGTAGCAAGTTACTTTAAACGATAGTAACTATTATAACTTTTCCGTCTCCAGCGAGTCCTTGCCTTTGCAACGATTCGGCCGCTTCAGTGAAGGCCCTTAGGTCTTCCTGTCCAATTTGCACTTTTCCCTGGTACATAAACTGCAGCAAGCCTCCTAGTGTCTCGCAAGTTACGTTTGTCAAAATCACTATAGGACGTTGACAACGATTCGACTCAAATTTTCTTTAAATGTGGGCCAAAGCCCAAAGAACCACTTTACGTGCTTCTATGCATTTTCCATGCGATGCAAGATCTACGCCTACAAAATCTTGACTCTTCCATAATGAATCCATTCCCGAACTCATATGTTCGTGGAAATCATTCCAAAATAGTAAAAAAGATTTTCTGACGCCACGGTCAATTATCTTCCAAAGCTCCATTAAATTCTTTTCCCTCTTTTATATCTCCATCTCAGTATGATGTGCCAATTTATGAAGTTAACCAACAATTGTATAAAGAATTAAATTTTTGTTAAAATAAAGAACTTAGAAATATACGCTGCCGAACTTAAAAAAATCTGTAGGAAATATCAAATAATCAAATCAAATAATAATCGATCAATCAATCAATAGTCAAATATCAAATAAGGTGTTAGTATTTATTTTTTTGAAAAATTAAACTCTATTAAATTCTTTTTCTTTTACCAATTGAAACGCTATTTTTTTCAATTCCAAATATCCCATAATTAATTAGTTAAACAAAGTCATATCTAATTTCTTAGTGTATATCACTTAAGGAATTCGCTAACCCCGCGATTTACGTCGTAATTCTCTTCGCGACGCTTCTTTTTAAGGTCAACATAAATATTTTTCAAACACAAATCATATTTCACTTTCGCTTGTTACATTAAACAAAAGAATTTGATAATATGTAAACAGTTAGTAAAATAATACTCAAAGAATTTATATTTTGCGCTTTTTGAAAGCCATAAACTCGTACACTCAAATGAACTTGATCTTGACCTACTAACTTAAATTCTGTATTTTTAACTACTAAATAGAACAATAATGGTTATTTCTTGAATCAATTATATTTCATTCTTATATTCAACTAGTTAGTAAACAATATATTTATTATTTCTTTAAATAATTCAATTCCTATATTCGACTGATAAATAATAATCTCTGTTATACCATCTTATATCATATATTCTGTTAGACAGTATAGTTTATATGTTTTTTTTTTGTGCAATATTATGGTAATTAAAAAAAAAACAATTATATAGAGAACATCATATAATGTGTTAGTATGTATTTTTGAAAAAAATTTGTACTTGTCATCTCTTCACATATATCATAAAAGCAATTCACCTATCTTAATTTACGATTCTAAGTCTCAGGAAGGAATTGATATGAGGTTATTTTCCAGTGATACAAGACACAAAAAAAAATCTACTATATACGAATAATTTGTGTAAAACCACTAACAAGTTTATATAACAAAGAGAGAAAAAGGATTTTCTTCCAGAAGAGGGAGTCCTGCACTCCACACAATATTTACTGGATACCTCACTGTTTCTTTAATCTGTTGTCGTCTTAGGAAAGAGAAGAAAAAAAATTGGAATGTCACTGGCGAAATGAAACGATGAAGGCTTCTTATAGCTACAAAACTTGCAAAAGTTTACAAGGATACTGAAGAAGTGACTTAATTATCCCTATTTACCGAAATTCCCCCAAACCGGGACCGCTGTCACCAATGTAATAATCTAATTTAAAGGTAAAGGGTTCTGTAAATGAACAGAAGAGAGCGAGAGAGTGAAGAGCTTGACAGTACAACTAATATGATTAATAGGGTTAGTCTAAATGGAATCTGTTACCTTATGTGTATATTAGGGCTTCAACCACGACACGTTCAGTCATCTGGAACTCGGTCAGTTGAGGGTTGCGAACTTTCGAGCTGCCACAATAACCGGACTACACGCGAATTCTGACAGAAGATACCTGGCCCCCGGAAAATCACCGACTGTGTCGTACTGTTCGCGTACGGGACGCTGTCGCGTCCCAGTCACGGTGGCCCGCTATTACTGACTGTCCATTACCAACTACCCATTACTAACTGCCCAGCGTCCGTCGTTTCTTCTTGTTTTATTGTGGTCGTACTTTCAACGCCGGTTCTAGTACCAAGGTCGTAGTTTCGCTGAGTTGCAGTTTTGGTATTATTGCTGCCTATTTGGGTCACGGATGTTTCGTGCTTTTTATACGTTTAAACAATTATTAAACAATGCAATAACTAGGTCAATTGTTATACTTTGTATAATTTAAATGTATAAGTTAACTGTATTAATTATCCCTTATTTAATTTGGAATATATGATAATTATCTCGAATAATTATTATCTTTTCTATGCTACTTATTGTTCCATTATCCCTTTATTCCAACTTCTCACTCACTTGCTACGCTTACATTACAGTGTGACCAGACCTACGTGGGTGTATGGCAGTGAAGTGTGGCCTGTAAAGAAGATTTAGGAAAAAAAGATGAAGGTAGCTGAAATGAAAATATTACGGTCTATGTTGGGTACCAGAAGAGATCAGGAAAGACTTGATTAGGGAAAGAACCGGGGTGAATAGTCTCAAAAAAGATTCAAGAACAAAGACTGCAATAGTTTGATTTTGTCAGACGTAGAAATGAAAACTATGTGGGATGAAGGATAGAGCTATTAAAAGTTAATGGAAGGAGAGATAGAGGTAAATCTAGGAGAAGATGAAAGGATGATGTGGTAGGAGTCTAAGGAGAGAATAATTTAGGTGAAGAAGCCCAATGGACAAAAATAAGTGGCGAAGAAGCGACCTCAGAAAAGGGAAAAGCTGGGGAATAAGAAGACCGCAAAAAAGCCTCTTCTATACTCCAATTCCCAGTGTACCCAAATATTACACAAGTAAAGCTCCTTCAACTTTACGTGATGCGATTAGGGAGGATTGGTGGTAGCTTGGGATCGCTTTCATCGTTTATGGGACTTGATATGAGACTTTAGATAAGACAATTCCTTACTTTGGAAATCTCATGTTACCTGCTGTGTGTGTATAAGTTTTTCTGATGATTTGCAATTCAATTACTAAAAAATTAGCTTTTCAGCAATTTTTAAAAATTACAGCGTATGCAAATAACTTCTTAAAATAAATTGTATATTAAAAATGACTTCCAGTCTGGAAGCTAAAAGGTTAAAGTAAAGAGGTTATTTTTATAATTGTAGTTTGCCTTTAACGAGATTTTTTGTTTCAACTGAGATACTAAATGAAAACTACTTCAGAGCAATATCTTGGACAGATCAAAATAATTTTACAAAGCTTAACGGGTAGGTGAAATAGAATTTCAAAACGGTATTACTCAATTACTTACCTGGGATCATATTTTTCATGTTGAATACCCTTCACCGCTGTTCTTATTTGTCTCTTTGGATCGTGCAGATTAAACAATCCTGCATGAATCTGAAATTGTTATAACGTTTTATAAATTGAGAAATTAGACAATTTTTAAATAATCCGTTTATTATCACGTGACTTTAAATTACTTACCTGAAATTCATAGTTATCAAACATGCTCAGACAATCTGCTACTATCAAAACCCAACTTTTGCTTATCACAATGGCGTTACAGTCATGAATGCAAGAGTCAGCGTAACATAATTGATAAGAGGCCATATATTTAAATTCTCCTCTTGTAGCATTGCGTCCATTTATGATACCTAGAGGTTTATTCGGAGCCGCTGAAACTTTTTAAAAGCTCCCATTAACGTTTGCCAATAAATTTGTTTATTAAATTAATTTGTTTTAAAGTTTGCCGTTTGTAAATAATTTTTTAGGTTTAATTGCTGTAATAAACAATTTAAGCTATTGTTTATTTTCATAATAAATGCAACAAATTATAATAATTATAACTCTCGGGGTATTCAGAAGACCACAAAGGCAGTTGCAGCGTAAATAAAGATCATTGCAGTCCCATAAACGGACTGGCAATCTGATTTTAGGCAATACAACATTTGGGGATAATAAAGAAGGGCATCCGTAATCTGTATGAGCCATATAAAGCGAAATAGGGGGCGTCCTTAATTTCGCCTTGCTCAAGTTATCCGTTTCGCCTCTCCAACGGAGAGAGGCAAATATTTGAACAAATATGTAATATATAATAACAGCTAACAAATTGTGACACTAATATGCATTATTTTATTACGAGAAGTCATTGAATGGTGATTCTTAGTTCTGAGCAACATTAATATCGTCTTATTTGACTTAAATTATTTTCATCCAGTCTCTGATGAGCATAGGGCATCCAGAATATTGGACATGCATCATCCGTCTTTATGCCCTTTCTTGTCAATCGTTTTTCTGCAGGTATCTCGAAGTCTACCTCCCTTTCCCGCTTCTAGTGGTTCCAGAATAGAGCTTTCTTTTCAATAGCAGCATCCTGATTTCCTAAGAGTGTCCGTTTTCTAATCGGAATTTCAACACTCGTTTGCCCTGTGTCCCTCCACAATCCCTTCGTGCCTGTTTGAATTACTTTCAGATCACCAAATTTTTATGCTTTACCTGTAGCTATGATTAATAAATATCTTCAATCAGTTGCAATAATATTTTTTCACGTACTTTGTGGGCCCCACAGTGTACAAAAGAATAGATTGGTGTTAAAGATGTAAAGCTTGGTATTTTGGGAGGTGTATCTGTTCCTCCAGACAAGATAAAGTTGAACAAATGTACGTAGCCTTTCTAATACGACTTCTAATATCATGTAGGGTATCTTTATATGGTATTGCAACGCTTATAATTAAAAAAATATAATTTGCTACAGAGAATAAAATAAAGATAGTTAGCAAAAGTTTTGCCCAAGTTTTGCATGTCCTAATTGAAAGAAAACGTGATAACACAATATTCAATTACATAAGCTAAATATATGTAGGTAACAACAGGGACCATAAATATATAATAACAAAATTAAAATAAAAATTACCAATAATTCCAAAGCTGTCGGAGAAAGAATTAATTAGCGATTAGAGCGCCCTCAAGAGAAGTAGGTAGTAAACAGACTAGAGGTAAAAATAAATAAAAAGCTAGAGAATCCAGTCAAACAGGATATAGAAGAAGAATGGCAAACCATAGAGACAGCCATGTCGGAATTAACGAAAAAGTGTATAGGAAGAGAGCATCTAAAAAGACGGCAAGACTGGTTCATGAAGAATGTAGGAATGCTTTGGCAAGAAGAAACAGGGCAAATCTACAAAGAGATGGAGAAATTACCCAAAAAAAGATTGCAAACTATGTGGCTAGAAGAAGAGAAGTTAACAGAATTTGCAGAAAAAAAAAGAGAACAGCTAGAAAAGCAATTAAAAACATAGAAGAATCCCACATAAGTAAAGAGCAAGAAAATTTCTACCAAGAAGTTGAGAAATCCAGAGAAACTAAAAAGAATAATCCACAGTATTGCGGAAACAAAAAAACGTTTACTTCTAGGAGAAATAACAGAAATATTAAACAGATGGGCGGAATACTTTGAAGATATATTAAATACAGACCAACAAGAGGAACTTGAAGGAAATGGGAATTGGCAAGAAGATGAAGAAGGGACGCGTAAGGCACCAACTTTGAATGAAGTTCAAGAAATAATAAGAGATCTAAAAAATAACAACAATGCAGGAGAAAGTGGTATTCCAGCTGAGATTTTTAAGAGAGGTGGCGAAATATTGAAGGAAATAATATTTTACTTGATATAAGTAATTTGATAAAAGGAAGAAATGCTGAAACAGTGGAATACCACTCTCATTTGTCCTATTTATAAAAAAGGAGACAAAACGGAGTGCGAAAACTGTAGCACTATTAGATTATTAGATACCTGGGAACTTATTTAGACAGAAAACTTTTGTGCAAAGATCATATTCAACATATCATTAAAAAAAGCTATGAATATCCTAAGAGCTTTCTGTAAAACAAACTGGGGTGCAGATCCCATTAGTTTAATGTTTTATCGATCTATGATACGACCAGTTTTCGATTATAGCTGTCACTTGTATGGAAACGCATCGGACACTCATTTAACAAAAATTGAGATAAAGAAAAATCTAAAAGTATCTGAAATCTACACCAATTAATGTAATGGAAATTAAAGTTGTTGAACCGCCATTGAATTTACGGAAGCAGTATCTTACCGACAAATATATAGCTGGTACCATTAGCAGAGACCAAGTATTTCTCAAAGATGTACACAATCTGGCTATTTTAGATTTGACTAAAATGTACTGGTTTAAGAAAAAATCTCGGAAAGCTACAGAAATCTGTCTACATTCAAAGAGGTACTTTATAAGGGTCATCTTCCACCAGTTTATTTTGAAAAGCCTCATGTGCTGTTCTCAATAATCAATAATACAAATCAAGACAGAATTTCTCAATAATGTCCAAGACCCCATGTTTAACGCAGACATTCAGAAGAGATGGCCTAATTATTATTATATGTTAACTGATGGTTAAAAAAAAAGAAAATAACACTGCTTGCGTAGTGTGCCAACGGTATTCTGAACAACAGCATAAATATAAGTTACCTGATAAAGCCCCCATCTACACATTCGAAATGCTGGGTTTAAAGTTTGCTCTTTCTCACGCTTTGACCAAGGAAATGAAGAACTGTGTAATATTTACAGACAGTAAAGGTGCAGTAGAAAGATTATGTGTAACATGTAAATCCAAGCAATTAACTAGATCAAGATCATCTAGAGATATTAAAATTGTACTACGAGGTTTCAAAGCTCGGAGAAGAAGTTATTATCGCATGGATCAAAAGCGATTCTAGGATAAAGGGTACTATAATAGCAGATGCTTTGGCAAAAGAAGCATTATCAAGCGGAGAAACTATAGACAGCAATATTCTACCGGTGCGGTGTCAGATATAGATGTATATAGTAAACATCGGCTCAAATTAAAAAGGCAAGCCAATTATACGGAATCAGAAAAACAGTCATCCTTTAAATATTGGCAACCCACACTTCTTAAAAAAGGTGGTTTTATTCAGAGTCAAACAGAAGTTTTATTACAACTATTAATAGGCTAAGGTCAAATCATGCTCTAACACCTTCAAGAATGTACAAAATGAATCTAGCAGACACTCCAAACTGTACTTGTGGTAAATATGGAGATTTAACACATATCCTATTAGAATGTGTAAACCAACATGGAAATATTACATGTTTTTATGAAAACTTACGAAAACTAAATGTCTGTTTCCCATTTCACATAAATGAATTAATTTTCTCTGGAAACGTAGAAATTTTTAATTGTATTTATCAGTTAATAAGAAAGTGTAAATATAAACTTTAAACAATGTAATGTACTAACCATAGAATTAAGATGAAACTTGTAAGCAATTTGCGATGAAACACACCAATCATGTAATAAACTTTTTAATACGAAAAAATGAAAAAAAACATGTAAAACAAAATTAATATAAGAGATGACTAAAACAAAATAAAAAAAATCACAAACAAACAAAAAAAAAACAACATTCAAAACACACCAATTCTTTAATTTACTTTTAACTTACATTTAGTACCAACTCGAACTCTGATTGTTGGTCTGTGAATACAAATTACGAAATAGTCTGGTCAATTGGCTATGCCAAGGCAATTAAAAAAACAAAAAAAGCACTGTCAGAAGTAGTCTATAAAATACTTGGAAAAATTATTAGGAAAAGATTAATGAAATATAAAAACAGTGATTGGAGAATACCGGGTAGGTTTTAGAACAGAAAGAACAACTACTAATCGAATAAATTTTTTAAAAGTACAACAAAATAATAGCTATGACACAGCCACGGAAGTAAAGGTGGCTGTGGCTATGAACAAAACTTACAATTACATATGCTATTTATCGATTTCAAACAAGCTTATTACTCCATAAATCCAACGATGCTATATGGGGCCGTGAAAACATTAGAAATACCAGAAAAGCTTGTAAGGCTAGTGAGAATAACGCTTAGGAACACAATACATAAGGTTACAATGGAAGAAAGCTTTTAAGATATTTGATAGTAAATAGAGGTTGAAAACAAGGGGATTCGCTATCAATCTAGTATTAGAACAAATTGTAAAAAGATCAAATGACAAATATGACCATTTTCAATAACAGGGAATAGTACATAGCAGGTAACAAGGGATTATGTGGTGATACTAGCGAGAACAAAAAGACATCTAGAGAAAGTGTTCCAGAAATTTGAAGAAGAAGCAAAAAGATACAGATTAACAATAAACCAAACAAAAACGCAATATATGGAAACAAGAGGAGACATAACAAATAATAACAAATATATCAATAAGAAAGGAGCAGAGACTGTCTATAGTTTTAAAAAAGTGTCAGAATTTGAATACTTAGGAGTAACCATAACAAACACGGAAAAAAAGAAAAAAAAAATAGACAAAAAAATAATTAAAGGAAATCTACGAGACACTGATCAGACCCACAGTGATGTATTCCAGCTAAACGTGGATTATGAACCAGCAGAAAGAAAAGAAAGTAGAGACCTGGGAAAGAAAGGTGCTCAGAAAAATCTTCGGAAGAATAAAGATGGCAGAGAATATTTGGAGAAGAAGAACAAATAAAAGAAGAGAAGAAATAATGAGGATGTATGGAAAACCAATAATTACGACAAAAATACGAGCCCAAAGAATTGGATGGCTTGGTCATATTATACGAATGCCAGATAATCGAAATATTAAAACAATTCTGAAGGAGGGAGAAATGGGGAACAAACGAAGAGGACGTTTAAAGAATAAATGATTGGAAGCAGTAAAGTTTGTGTAAACTAGGGGCTTACAAGGCCTGTAGCTTACAATGTAGTATTAAAATGCTTCCTATGCGTACAAAAGAGTTGACTGTTTCTACCTCTGTGTTATTTCCAATATCCAAAAGGCTGGTTTTACAGAGTGTTCGTAAATAAATGCGACAAAATTTGGGAGGTCATTCTGCATGAAAAAAAAATTACAGTTTAATTTTAACAGCAATTAAAAAAAAAAAAAAAATAAAAAGACGCGTTAAGCTGTTTTATTTTTTTTTTGTATAAACACGGTCATATATACTATATAAAAAATGGCAAGAAAATTTTTTTGTCACAAATTAAACGACAAAGTCAACAATAATTATTTATAGTGAACTATTTCAGTGGCATAGTGTTTCCTTAAAAAAAATTAAGACCATTACTAGTAGACGCGCCAATGATGAATACACATTCTTAATGGTATGTTAAAAATACGCAATAACTAACAATATTTTATATCAATAAATAAATCGTTAGTTTGTAAGAAACATTTCAACACCTCCTATCTCGAAAAAACGAAGTATTTGCCAACGTACATTTATATTGTAAACTGTTTTTATCTTTCCCTGCAGAACCACCCCTAAATTTTGTCGCACTTATTTACTAGATATAACACCAGTCATTTGCTGCATTCAATCTTATTTCTTCGATCTTACGAGTATTAACCCCAAGATCTGCAGCTTCAGCTTCTTGCTTTAACACAGTTAACTTAAGTTTTATGTCGATAAAGTGAAAAGGCAAATATCGTCCACCAAGTCGAGTACCTTCCAGACGTCTGGTTAAATTACTGGATAATACCGTTAATAGCAAATAAGTAAACAAATAAGAACCCTCATACCAAAAGCCTAACCAGAATGGATGATACAAATGTGCAAAATAAGAGTTAAAAAAGTATGTCTATTGTATGCAGAAAAAGGTCAATGGATTAAGATGAATATATGTAAAAACTCCCAGATTATTAAATCTATATAGTAAGATAATGTGTTTTAGTGCAAAATTTTTACTGATTTAATTATTTTATAAAAAATCTATCAAAACAATACAAGAATAATATAAAGTAAGTAAATACCTAGTGCTCCAAGAGCAAAGATGAAAAGTGGTATTAAAATCATTTTGAACTATTTCAAACTAAATCTCAACTACTGATTTGTAAATTTATATATTTTGAGAGATTTTATATGGCAGATAATACAATGATAGATATCAATATTCAAATAAATATTGAGATAAACGTCAACATTCCATATTTAACCTTAAATATTTTAGTAGGTATTTTATTTTATACAGAGTGGCCCAAAAGTCTGGAAACGGCTAATTATCTCGTAAATTACTAGACATAATTATACAAAATTTGAGATACGCCTATTTTGGGATACGGAGATTCCATATTTGGTATATGCAATGTTGCCAGATTTTCAGTTTCTCTTATATTACTAGTAACTTCATCAGAGCATCACCCTGTATACTCAGTCATTATTGGAATCTCCTATTAAATACGAGTTTAACCATATGTAACACTTATGATTTTATGTAGTCTGGAAGGTCTTAAATACATAAAACAGAAGTCTGGCAACGCCTAAATTGTTTCAATACATTTTTTAAAACTAACTATTTTCAAATACATTAAAACGTAATAATTGATAGTTTAGAATATTTTTTAATATAATAGTTCCGTTATTAAGTGTTCAAAATGCGCTCCATTTGTGAGTTGACAGCACTCTAATCGATGGTAGAATGCGTCTACCACATTTCTCCATGATTGTCTAGAAATTATTCGAGATTAATCGATAATTCATTGCCTTAGCTATGCAAGACTTGCTGGTTAAGTTTTGTAAACTGAATTTTTCAAGTATCCCTAATAAAAATAATCTTTAGAATTGAGATCGGGTGATCGTGGAGGCTATTAAATTCTACCCTGTCTACCAATTTATCGTCCGGGAAATATCTCATCTAAATAACGCCGAACATTTACACCAACTATCTGACGTTAAATTTCCTTCGATAAAAAATGACCCAATTAAATAAGTACCTATTGTAACTGACCATACATTTAATTTTTGTGGTCTTTGAGTATTGTTTTCACGCATTCAGTGTGAATTTCACACGAGTTCAGCTGTTCAATACGAGTTCAACCATATATTCACTTGATTTTATGAAGTCTGAAAGATCCTTAATACATAAAACAGTGCAAAATATTGTAGATTTTAATCAATTTAAATATTTAAATGGAGAATGCTGTGATTTTGACATTTGTTCACCATTTAAATTATAAACTAAAATTGACAGTAGTTGTGGTTCAAAAAGTTTTGCAATTTAAATTGCTTCTCTAAAATGCCGTTCTCTAAACCGTTCTCCTATTCATAAGAGGACGGTACAAAAAACTGTAAGGCGATTTGAGGAATCTGGAGAAGTAAAAGATAGATACCAATCAGGTTGACCGAAACGAGTTCAATGACAACAAAACTTCAGATATAAGCAAAGTTTTGTTGAAGATCCACATACATCCCCAGGCAGGGTTGCACAAGTACATGATGTAGGTCATTCTCCAGGCTTACGTTTATTACGTAAAAATAAATTTAAATCATACAAAATTAACTTATTGCAAGAATTAAGTGAAGATGACTTTGGTCGTAGATTAGAGTTTACTGAGGTAATGATGGATAAAATTGAAAATGATTGAAATTTGGTTAACAGAATATGTTTTTCCGATGAAGCAAATTTTACACTGTGTGGAAGTGTAAATCGACACAATTAAAGGTACTGGTGTGACGTAAATTCACACTGAAGACTAAATGCGTGAAAACCATACTCAAAGACCACAAAAATTAAATGTATGGTCAGATATAGTAGTTACTTATTCAATTGGGTCATTTTTTATCGAAAGAAATTTAACGTCAGATAGTTGGTGTAAATGTTCGGTGATATTTAGATGAGATATTTCCTGGACGATAAATTGGTAGACAAGGTAGAATTGATTGGCCTCCACGTTCACCCGATTTCAATCCTAAAGATTATTTTTATTAGGATACTTGAAAAATTCAGTTTACAAAACTTAACCAGCAAGTCTTGCAGAGCTAAGGCAACGAATTATCAATGAATCTCGAAGAATTTCTAGACAATCATGGAGAAATGTGGTAGACGCCTTTTACCATCGATTAGGGTGCTGCCAAGTCATAAATTGAGCACATTTTGAACACTTAATAACGTAACTACTATGTTAGAAAATGTTCTAAACTATCAATTGTTACGTTTTAATGTATTTGAAAATAGTTAGTATTGAAAAATTTATTGAAACAATTTAGGCGTTGCCAGACTTCGGTTTTATGTATTTATGACCTTCCAGATTGCATAAAATCATAAGTGTTACATATGGTTGAACTCGTATTGAAAAGGAGATTCAAATAATGACTGAATATACAGGATGATGTATTTGAAAACCCAAAGTTACTAATAATATAAGAAAAACCTCCGTATCCCAAAATAGGTGTACCTCAAATTTTGTACAATTATGATTAGCATTTTACGAGATAATTAGCCGTTTCCAGACTTTTGGGTAACTCTGTATAATACTTATATTAGTAAATTTTTTATCCAAAATTATTTTTTTTTTCTATTTTTCTCTAATTTTCTACAACTCCAAGAAGCTATCTTTGGATGGTTCGTTATTACAGGTCGATTACCCTTTCGAAATCCCGAATTTATGAAAGTAAATACTTTAATAAAGAACATTAGGAATGTATTTTTGAAAACACATATCTCCAGGTTTACAAAAATTTTCAAATAAAAAGAAATATACATACTGCAAATAGAACCTAATATCCCAGATGAATTAAATACATGTTAATGATATCAAAAATCTTCTTCTTCGCGTGCCATACCAGAACTATCCGACGTTGGCGATCACCATTGCGAAGGCTTCTCGATCTTCTGCAATATGGAATAATTGTCCTGCATTTGGTATCTAAGTCCATTCACGAATGTTTTTTAACCAAGAAACTTGTTTTCTTGCTACATCTCTACGGCCCTGTATTTTGCCTTTAAGGATCAGTTGTAAAATTTTATATCGACTTCCCCTTACTATATATCAAAAATATATATCTAAAATCAGTAGATTACCAGGTAGTTACCGCAGAAGACGAGGAAGATTTAGAATATAATATGGGAAGGAAACTCTAAAAAGAATATCCTATAGTATAGGAGGAGAAAAACATTCAGAAGATCTCGGTTTAGAATTAGAAAAAATAAAAACATGCGATGAACATATATATACTAGGGAATAAAACTATGGGAGAAAGGACGGACTGACTAGGCCATAAAAGATAAAATAAAAAAAAAAGAAAAACAATATATAAGTTTATTAAATTCGGTGTTTGCAAAAGAATATAAGACCAGAACAGAAGAAATGGATATATAGTACCATATTGATGCAAGGAATTTCAAAAACAATATCAGCAAAAACTTTGCCAGTCATTTAAAGATGACTGGTAAAATAACAAGTGATGGATTCGACCGTTACTTGATGGAAATTTATTTTGTCTAACAATAAAATAATAAAAACTTTGTTTTCAAAACTTCCACAAAATTTATTACAATATCTTATCACTACAGCTGTTTCGGCAGAGTGCCATTCTCAAGTGATCTATTTTTGGTATGTGTTCACTTTATAGTCTTTAGCTGAATTGGTTGAGAGGGAGAGAACTGTTTGTCTCAAGTTGGTCATTCAGAATTATGCCTGCGTTTTTTAAGTTGTTAATTTCCATATATTCTAACAAAGATAGCGTAAGGCCTTTATTTTGGATGTGAAGAATTTAAAATTCGTCATTAAAAGAATGATTATGATTTAAAAGGTGAAGTACGTATGTAGAATCTGTTTTTCTATTAACAAAAGCCCTTTATGTTCTGCTATATGTTTGTTAAAAGTTTTACCAGTTTGACCTATGTAAGTTTTTTGGACAGTCCCACATTTGCGCTTTTTATGTTGGTTCTTGTTGTTTTTAATATATTGTTGTTGCCCAAGTTGTTGTTTATTCTAAAAGCTGATGTTATTTCTTTTTTTATATGTTTGGCTATTTTTATTATCTTGCCTGTATGTGTAATCGAGCAGAAAGTACTAGGTTTTTTCTCTGGTGGTGGAAATACTAATTTCAGGGCTTTTTGATGCAGTTTTAATTTAAACTTTTATTAATTGTTTGTTCGTTGTAATTGTTTACTGCTATTTGCTTAATAATATTTAATTCTATCCCAAAGTTGTCTTTCGACATCAGAATTGTTATTAATCTGTGTAGCTATGATAGGCTGATAATTTATGTTGTGTAGGATGGAATGATGAATTGTATCTAGTCGTATCAGTATGGGTAGGTTTATGGAATAGGGAGGACTTATGTTTGTTTTTAAATCTGATAATTTTTAAACCAAAAAAAATTATGGATTGACTTTGTTCTATTTCTATTATAATTTTAATATGACTGCAAAAGAATTGCAAAATGTTATAAAAATTGAAAAACAGGCAAATATTTCGACCTAGAAATAAACCAAGCAAAGTCAAAGTACACGATGCTCGAGAATAGAGACCAGAAAGAAGGGACGCAGTTTAGTTTCATATCTACTGAATAAAGGAAATATAATTTCGAGAAAGTGGTCCATTTTACTTATCTGGGGGTATTATAAAAGAGAAAGGTCAGGAAGAATAGGAATTTATTGTCAGATTGATAAAGGGAAATAAAAAGATGGGAAGCCTAAGACCACTAATGAAATCCAATTATGTATCCAGAAAACACAAAGTTAGAGATATGAAAAACATATACATAAGGCCCACTGTGACGTGTAGTAGTGAACTATGGGCAATGAAAAAAGCTATTAACCTAACATTTGCGTAATCTTCTGGCCCATACAATCTGCTGAAATTTTATGGCTTTTTGTATATCGATAAAATCAGCGTCATTGGGCAGAAAACTGTGGCCCGATTGCAAAAAATTTATTGGTATCTTGTTTAATGTAGGGTGATTATGTAAGGTATGCTCCAGCAACAAACATATTTTAATATTGCGCTTTTGGCCGCCAGATGAATCGCACCAAAAACGAATTCTTTTGATCTAGGATCCTAGATGGAGATCTTTAAACTTTTTTAAACAAGATCCAA